ATGAAAACGTTTTCTAATGATATATATTCACACTTTACAATATTCTCAAAGCTTCACAATATTTTAATATATATTCTTAATCTGAATTAGTTGTCCCTTGATACATTGCGAAGCATGTTATTATATCAAGGTTAATCACGTGAGCACAGATATCCAAATGAATCATGAATAGTTTGTTTGTATTGTGATCACGTSTTCATGATGACGTCACATCAAAGGCAGATTGTGACGTCATTTACTAATAAGTTTTTAAGATGAGCCTTGGACCTTAACCCAAACTTGTTTGTGTTTATCGAGTGATCTATTAATCTTTAATTCTATACACCGTATCAAAATATGGCGACTAATTTGAATAACCATTGTTCTGCCCCGACCAGCGATTGACTTAGCCTGCCATGCATGTGAAAACGCTTTTATGTTTCCATGGAAACACGAGGCTAGTCAGTGTAGAACAATAATTATTTTAATTTTAATTTGATCATTCATGTTTGGAATGGAGGATGGAGGGATGGATAGTAGTCTTGAGAAATCTAGTCAACCAAGATGGCGGCTATGACGTCACGTATGTCATATGCATAGACCATAATTTTTTATTCCAAGGGACACGTTACATTCCCTTGTGTATACTTTTTTCTCTATTTGAAAGATTCGAGAATCATTTGATTTTTAATATAACGAATTGCAAAAAAGGTTGAAGGGTGTTGGGAGACATTCATTCCCTGACCCCTCCCCCCTCGTGCCTCCCATAAAACATGAAAAAGAGGCTTTGCAACATCACGTGATGGCAGCCATGACAGGAGGCAGGAACAATTGAATCCCGTCTAATCTGATTTACATGAGCAAGAATTCAGTTTCCCAGGGGAGAAAAAGACGTGCCATATGTCATGGCTGATCTCACGTGATAGTTCAAAGCCTATATACTCCTTAAGACAGCTAACGACTATCGTGTGACGAAAGCTGAAGACATTTTTTAAAGCCAATAAAAAAATCCTTATTTCTAAAATTCCAGCGATAATTTTCAAAGACAGGTTATTTAAAAAAAGTGAATGTAAGAATGGTCATGAAAAGCCTAGATTTCTTGGTTTTTTGTTTGCTTGACATAAAAATGAATACGTCTGAATGAATGGCTAAAGTAGAGGCTTTGCACCATCACGTGCCCATCCCATAATACAGCTTGAGCTGCCTGTGGTTAGATGGCAGAACAATAAAATCCCTTTGCTCTTGGGAATTGAATTCTTCCTCATGTAAAACGATGGTATTGTTCTTGTCATCTAACATGGCTGYCGTCACGTGATGGTGCGAAGCCTCTACTGGACGCGTATATTTGTTTTACTTAAATGATAACTAAGTTAAAAACCTAATATGAGCTAAAACTGATAAATAAATGCTCCATTAAAACAACTTAGAGTTATTCTACTGAACCCGTGAAACGAGAAATAATGATCATTCATAATGAGAAGAGATAACTACCTAAAAACTAGTGTGAGCTGCGTCGGTGTTTCTAATGAAACAGTAATGATGAAAAGGTAAATTATACACCATGAAAAGATGAAAAAACTTACTGACGTTTCGGACTCTAGTCCTTCGTCGGAGTAAAAGAGAAAGAGATGGTAGAAAGGACTTCATCAACTCGTGATGGTCATATGGACAAAAGAAAACGATGGAACTACTGTTTGCACGGGTTTTCAGTAAAACAAATCCAATCAAAAAATGAAACTTAACATAAGACTGGGCTGTGCCAGTCCCTCACCACCACAGGGATTCCATACTTGAATTACAGTTCCGTGATAGGCGTTCGTCTTGTTCCTCCGTTTGAAAGCCTCAGGAGTTCATCTTTTATTGAACGAATAAGTGGCTGAGGCGCCTGTCCTAAGCCACTACTCCGCTGACCATACTGATCGTTCATGTCAATGACTGTGTCACGTGAGTTGACGTCACGGTATCCAGGGTCTTTAGGAGGCGAGGTTCCCAAGGCACCGGGATAGTTGGACTAAAATTTWAAAAAACATGACAAAAGTTTTATTAAAGTTTCTTGAATTTAAAAATGCAAATTAGCATGATAATCAGATGGTTGCCATGGTTACCTTAGCTAAGTCAGGGTACAGGTCTTCCATTGTGTCTTCTGCTGTATATGGACTCCATATTGGACCTCCCTGTGGGATAATAAGGATTCATATTAATGCTGTTTGGCGTTTGAGCTTCCTGTGTTAGGATTTGGCCGCAAGAGCCTAGGTCGAGCAGATTAATACTGCTCAATTAACTAATAATGAACTAATATTGACAATATTAACCAATATTGATGGTATTGATAATGATAACTAACCATATAATCCCTCTGCTGTTGTACTGGTGTTATATAGACATTCTGTCCATGTGGGTCGGTATACGTGTAGGTTGGGTTGTGGCCACCTTGATGAAGGAAACCCATTCGTTGGTTAATGTACCTGAATAACAATGAGTTAACAAGATAAATACAATGTTCTCAATTCAGGGTGGGGTAGGAATATGATATACATTCCCCCCCTCCCCCGGGATAATATTAAGTAACATTATTCCATACCGTTGTCTATCGTACGGATCCCAGACAACCACTGGCTCATTAGTTACAAGGGGCGGTCGCATAGGAGGACGTACTGGGTAACCAGGTCCGATGGGTGTCTGTGGTAAACCATGAGGAAATCCACCAGTGTTGCCCAGTCTTCTCCTCTGTCTTGGTGTAGGCTCGGATGCTCTGCCGTGTGCCGGAGCAGGTTCTGGTAAAGCTGGCGTACTCCCAGCAAATCTTGCAGGAGCTGGAGGTCGATTATAATAGTCACCAGGCCCCTGTAGTGTCGCGGGCCTTTGTTTTTGTGTCTGGGATAGAGGCCCTAGCAACGAGAAGGCGTCGTCAAGGAGCGTGTGCATACGTTTCCTTGTTTCTTCCATGCTGATACTAGACTCGTCACTAGACTCTCCCGACTGGTCTTCGGTTTGGTCTTCATCTTTTGGAGGCTGCGAACAATATCAAAGTTAATTACTAGCTGTGATGATGATGATGATGATGATGATGATGGTGATGATGATGATGATGGTGATGATGATGATGATGTAGGTGATTATGATGATTTTTATGACGATATATCAATACCTGTTTCATAGTGTCTTCGGGACTAGGGTGTTGTTTGTAACTCTTCAATTCAATCGCATCTTCATCTGTAGCCACACTATCAGCTCTCTTGGATCGCTGAGGCTTTCGTCGTTTACTTCTGCACAAAAACAAAAATTAACAAATATACTTCTACATGGTGATGATGATACCATGATGATGACAATGATGGTGAATGGTAGTGATGATGATGATACCATGATGATGACAATGATGGTGAATGGTAGTGATGATG